ATTTCAAATCTTCATATCAATTTAGGTTAACTTAAACCAGCGGTTCTCAACCTGTGGGTTGCAACCCCTCTGGGGGTCGAACGACCCTCTCACAGGGGTCGCCTAAGACCATCCTGCATATCAGATATTTATATTACGATTCATAACAGTAGCAAAATTACAGTTATGAAGTAGCAACGAAAATAATTTTATGGTTGGGGGTCATCACAACATGAGGAACTGTATTAAAGGGTCGCGGCATTAGGAAGGTTGAGAACCACTGCTGTAGACTGATTGAATTAGCTTTTAAGCCCTCAGACAATCACCCTCAGCTGTGGCGAGGTTGTCCAGTAGGGTAGGACAACTGTCTTCCCTGCAGACAAAAACTGCCTGCAGAGCAAAGGTCTGACTGAGAAAGATGGCCTCCTCAGTGTGAGGAAACCGAGGTGTCTGCCTTCTGAGCACTAACTTTAGGATGATTTTTTTTGTAATTTAGTTGAAATTCCAGTTTGGTCCTGGCACCTTGTCTGTGTAGCATCCACTCACTCTGTGGCCATTTTTAATCTCCCTTCTTTTTGACATTCTGAGAACAGCACGCTGGTAAGGGATTATGCTCAATTGCACCAGGGCTGCTGCTTGACTACACATTGCCGCTTCTGCAGTGTCTAAAACCTGATTTCTGCTTCCCTAGTTTTTATATTGCCTGGTGGCCCATGGCTCTAAAACAACTTCAAAGTGGTTAAAACACCATCACAATTATGAAAAGATAACATTTTGAAATTTTTTTAAAAATTTGTAAAATAAGCTTTCAGAGGCCTGAAATTGAGTTGGTTTAACTTTTTTTTTCCTTCAATATATTCCATTGATTTTCTACAGAGAGGAAGGGAGAGAGAGAGAGAGAGTCAGAAACATCGATGAAAGAGAAACATCGACCAGCTGCCTCCTGCACATCTCCCACTGGGATGTGCCTGCAACCCAGGTACATGCCCCTGACCGGAATCAATCCCGGGACCCTCTAGTCCGCAGGTGGACGCTCCATCCACTGAGCCAAACCAGTTTTGGTGAGTTTAACATTTTTGAGTTTAATGGAATTAGCTTCTACAAATTCTTGGGGTCTTAACGTACAAGATATTACAAAATAGCCAAGACATATATTTCACATTTAATAAAACCAAACAGTCTTAAGATGTGAAGAAAAAGTGGGGTAAAAAATTCTCCATTACAAAATTGGAAAGTCACCAATGTATCCTGCCAGGGGACTGGTACTTACCTCTCCATTTGTGTCATCAAAGATAATTACACCGAAGCTGGGACGCAAGCTCTCCCCACTGACTTCTTTACACATCCTTGCTCCTTAACCTTGTGGCAGCCAATGAGCTCAGCATGTCCTCATGAGCCAAGAGGAACAGGAGAGGAGCTGGGGGAAGTTCAGGAAGGAACACTTGCCTCTGCACTACAGCCTACTGCTCTAAAGTTAGTAAACTTCATCCCCATTCATAGGTCAAACTAAGGCTCCACGAGTTTAGCTACCTTGTTCAAGGTTACCCAGCCAGTAAATTGTGGAGGACTTTCCAAGTAAGAATTATACTCTTGAAGTGCAATAAGACATTGGTTTACATTTTTGGGGAGACAGGGAAACATTACAGTGTCTCCTATTCTCACACTTAGTTCTAACCTTGAGGCAATGCCATCCTCCTAGGGGGCCTCTGTTAATGTCTGGGACTATCTTTGATGTACCAATAAAGTGGTGGGTTGTCCTTCTGGTTTTTAGTACTCTACAGGTCAGACATGCTACAATGCTTCAGATAGTTCTGCACAACAAAATACCATCAATCTCAAAATGCAGTTTCCTGTTGGATAACACCATAGGCTCCTCATAGTTTCAAGAGGTAGAAGTGGTGAAAGTGTTAACTCTCTCTGGCATGAAGTCAGAGGAAGAGACACAGTGACTTGTCAAAGGGCAGTATAAAAGGTGGAGTGATTAAAGCTACGCACAAGTCATGCTGGCTGGGCTGGTCTTTGGCCAGTGTTGCCAACATAGTCAATACAACCCTATGAAATCTCTTCATAAGGCCATACTGAGACAGAGCACGATCCACCACTTACAAGTGGGTAACCTTGAGCAAGTCACTTAACTTCTTTGAGCTTTGTTTGTAAAAAGAAAACTAAGATTTTGAGGATTAAATGAGATGTCCGAATGTGCCTGGTGCAATGTCTAGCCAGAGAGTATCTTGTTAAGTGGTGGCTATATTTATCTCACCATTATCATAAAATGCCACACTCGGTTTATGTTCCTCAGCTAACCCCTTTCTTACAGTATTTCCAGTGAAGAAATATGTATTCCACAAGACACTTGTTTTGCCGAAGAGTTAGATAGAATGTTTTCACTCAGTTGCCACCTCTAAATCCCTTGGACTCCCCACTCCCAAAGACAAGGTTAATGGGATAGAATTTAAACTTGAAAAAACTCAATTTTAACACATTATACCCAAATTACACGCTAATACACTAATGTTCATTAGTTTACACATACTACAAAGGTAGTATTGAAAATAATTTTTTTCATGACCAACTATGGAGGAAATAGTGTCCCTTTATACTTAAACAATAGTGTAGTACCCAACAGAGAGCAGGGTTGAGAACTCAGAAGCTTAACAAGTACACAGGATATGCAACAATTTGGTTATAACTGAAACCAGATTAAATAAATATTAACAGTGCTTACTAAGGGAACGGAAATTGGAATAACCATATTTGAGATCACATGTCATATCTCAACCCAAAAAACAGGGACTTTGATGACCAAAGGCTGAGCTTCAGAAAAGACTTAACTATGCAAAATATTATTTGAAGTATAGCTTTCATAACAGGATTTTACTCTATAGCAAATATGTAATAAAAAAAAGTCACAGTTGATGTTTAATAATACCCTTTAGGGATTTTTTCCAGAGTTACCTTGACATGAAGGGTATATCCTCTAAATAACCAATAAAAAGGAGATTGCACAATAGAGACATCATGTTAGCTTTCTAAAAATTTCATTGAATCTTGACACAATGGTGTAGTTTTGGGGTAACACGAAGGATGCCAACATCAAAGAAAAATGGAAGACACTTTCCAACGAGGCAAATGTTCAGTTCTGAGCTTCCTGAAGCTCCCTGATGCAGGTACATTCCAAGTGAAGTCAACAGGAAGAGGTAAAATCTTTACTGCATAACTCTGAGCATCGTTGTGGGTCTTCCTCTTTTCTCAGGGCAGAAGAAAGGTTGTTGCCCTGTCAGGCGTTAACCAGTGTGTGGTGAGATGTGCCTCTTGACCCGAGGGCTCCTAGACTGCAGTCCAGCTACCTTGCTCTCTGGGCCACATGTAGCCCTGAAGCATGTACCATGTAATAGAAAGCCAAGTTTCTAGAATTAAAAATGGAGCTAGCCACAATCCTGAGTGCTATGAGGAAGGCAACAGGGTATTCAAACAAAAGATTAATAAAAACAATTGTCTACATAGTTACTGGCAGGGCTTGAAGATGACATTAAAATTCAAGCATGAGAGGGGTTCACCAGCACCCAGGAACTGGGCTGTCTGCATGGAGCAGGGGCTGACATAGAATCCAATCTACTGAGGTAACTGGCAACAAACATGATACAACAAAATGGCTCTTCAGGGAGAGCTTGAGGTTCGAGTCCTTTTTCTAGGGTCGTGCCTATTCAGCCATCCAGAGCTTGAAGGTCCTGTCATATGAGCAAGTGGCGATAAGCTGCCCATCAGAAGAAATGTCTAGGCCCATCACTTTGCCTTCGTGGCCAGCCAAAGTCTTCAGCGGGGACCAGCCTGGATGGGTCCAGATCTTGGCTGTGTTATCATAGGCACCAGTGAGCAAGAAATTCCCGTGGATAGCTGCAAGAGAAAAGCAGAGTTGCTTAAGGAATTTAAGTATTCAAAAGAGCTTAAAAAAGCACAAAATTCTTCCAGAACATACTATTTCAAAAAAGAAGGTATTTCTACATTCAGAAAAACCCAACACAGATCTATATTCCTAACAGGTCTTCAGGAAAAAGGGACAACTGCAGGGAAAATTAAGGAAACAAATCATACTATTAAGGCTTTTTGGCTTTTTCAACAACCTGTTCAGAATAATATTAAGGATTTGGTGCTTATGATTTCCATGGAGAAAAAGATGCAGCAAAGCACTCACAAAGTCTTTTTTACTTCCTAGCAACAAGCATGCTGTGCCACAGTTCTGTCTGAAGGGAGGGTAGAGGGAAGGAAACTATAATCTGCTTCTCTGACAGAGTCCAAATTCTCTCCTGTTCCACCTACAAGTTAAGCTACAGCCTGGCCTGCATTCCATGAAAGTGCAATCTGTCTTCCTCATTATTCTAAAACAGGAGGAAAGCTTACGCTCAAATTTGACACCAGTCACTAAGTTCTGATGGGCGGGGATGGTATAGATGCAGCGCCGTTGTCGAAGGTCCCATACTTTGCAGGTATTGTCACCACTGCCGGTTGCAATGTGGTAGCTGTGGGTCAGATGGTAGTATCAAGTTAGAAACAAAGAGTACTTCCTGACCAAGAACCCTCTCCACCCCATCATTCAATGAGCTTATTTTACCCATTGGGGGAGAAATTTATTCCATAGATTTCCTTCAGGTGCCCTTCTAGGAACATGATACAACGTCCTGTACGCAGGTCCCAAACTCGACCAAATGCATCCAGTCCCCTGATAAAATAATTTACAAATGAACATTTTTAATCCAGTTCTCTGTGGAAGCAGCTACACATAAGAGGTGAGACTGCTGAGCTGCCCCTGGCAATGTGGAAAAAGCCTTACCCAGTGCCAGCCAAAGAGCCATCTTGATGGAAGGCAATGTCATACACACCCATGCTGTGGCCTTCCTGATGCAGGATCTCCTCTTGAGCTTCCAAATCCCATAAGCGCCATGAGCGGTCATAGCTAAGAAACACAAATTTTCAGCCAGCATATATTTATTCAGTTTCTATAATGTGCAAGGTATTATTATTAGTTATAGCTTCAGTTATGCTTCTGCAACTACTTAGAAAACAAGTTATTTTCTGGCATAAGCAATCTATAATAAAAGCATAATATGCTAATTAAACCAGACATCCTTCCAGACAAAGCCATGGGGGGGGAGGGTCTGAGGCAGAGGTGGCAGAGATACCTGGCCATGGCAGCAGGTGGGGACCAAAGCAGAGGCGGCCGGTGCGACAGCGGGGCCAAGGCCCTTGCACGAATTTCATGCATCGGGCCTCTAGTGTCTCAATAACTAAGCACATCTGTCTTGGGTGCTAACTGGAAAAACCATGACTTCCGATAAACCTATTTTAAGAACAGAATCCCCTAAGAATGGCCCAGCAAAGACTCTGTTGCCTTCTTTCTTCCCCAATTCCACTTTTATGTTCTTTCATTCATCAAGCGTTGATATATTTACTGGGCCCTAAATTCATGTTGGGGATACAAAAATCAATCATAGACAAATCAATGGAGTAGAAAAGAAAGAGAAGAAACAGACCCACTCATATATGGTCAAATGATTTTCAATGAGGGTGTCAAGCAATTTCAACAGGGAAAGGAAAGTGGTAGAACTGTCTATGTACGTGGAAATAAAGATAGGAAAGAAAAAGTCAAACATTTTAAAAAAGGAATAAAGCATCTGAAAACTACACAAAAGAGAATATACAAATGGTAGTAAGCATATATAACAAAGTACTCAACACTAATAGTCATTAACACTAGAAAGACTGAAATTTAGTATATACCTATATTGCCCAAAAGCCGTCAAAATAGACTGCATTGTGAAAGAATAACTAATGTGTAAAGAAATATGTTTAAAATTAATTTTTAATATTTTTTATATTATTTACAGTTATATAACAAGTTATTCGACATTTCTTTCATGAATTTAGGGTGCAAAAGAAATAAAATAAACAACTTACTAGAACAAGTATCACTGCATAAAGATTCGAATAACAAGTACTAGTTTACCTTATTGAGCAACTGCAACTTATCAAGTATCAACAGTTTATCATGTACTTGTATGTTATC